ATATCCTATAATGTCTAGCCAAATTTCATAATTAGCGTTGCATGGTCTTCGGATGCTACTGTATATTCATAGAAGTTGCATAGCTGCTTCAGTGATTTTTACAGGTGTCCATCTTTAATGGATGGGAAATTTTTCGTTTTTTTGTGAAGTTCTCAAGAGGAGCAGATTGTGGAAACTTTGAGGAGGGCTGAAGAAAAACAGGCTTTGGAGATCATGTTAGGGCTCACTGGAATGAGTTTATCCGTTCGCTGACGTTTCTGAGAGCTGTGCCGTCTCTCCTTTGTCATCGATCATTATCGATTATCGATCAGTAATGTGAAGTTGTGGTGGTACGCGTCGGCCGTAGACTGATCGATTTTTCTCCGTTCGCTGCCTGGCCCCTGAAGTTTGGCATACGTTGATGGCAATTAGTGGAGCGCTTCGTTTCCGTGGTAGAGGAGGAGGTTACCCCTGCTTCCTCTTCTTGCGGGTTTAGCGCGGAGCCGTTTTAGCTTCTAATTCTTAAGTTCGGTTTGAACTTGTCCTGTCCTTTAATCACGTAATGGCCTAGGACTTTGTAGACCGCAGGAAGGTCTAGACGCCTGTCTACGGAGTTGGCACCCGAGGGTTTTAATGTAAAAAAAAGAAAAAAAATCCGTCAATGTATACCTCACCGTTAATTTCGCTTTCGTTGTGGGTCAGGTTCGCTAGATGACCATACGGCCTATTTGTTACATCCTTTCTGGATATTCGCTTTGCGCAGTATGGACCATTATTATTTAGTCCTGTTCCCAAGTGGAGGAATTTTCAGAATACACTATCACTCCACATAGCTCTTATTAACAAAGTCTCTTACAACGCCACAAAAGCTTCCCGGTATAACTTATCAATGTTCACATATAAGCTAATATCTAACACGTGCTTGGTCCTTTTTTACTCAGGTCAACGGCGTGATAATCTATGGTAGGGACTCAGAGACGGTGAAGAACACCCTGACCTCAGCCAGCCAGAGTGGTTATATCGTCTGTGCCCGGCCCCAAGTCAACGGCCCTTTCGCTGACGTCACACCATTTTCGGTGATTGAAGAGGAGAATGAGGAGGATATCTCCATCGATGTAACCTCGCCCATCAGTGCCTTCGAAGGCACTGATGAGATCTACCACATTAACTCGGCCGAACTCTCGCGAACAGACGCTGATCGTATTAGAACACCAGAGCCAACTGAAGAGGCCGTATTTTCAGCTGTTTTCTCCCCGGCACCTGCTGTCCCCAACCAACCAGCCAGGACCCCTTCTCCGCGTGTAGCTGCGCCCAACACTGTGAACACGGAGGTAGGTGTTGGTTTTTTGCATCCACTAGGGCTCTTGATTGCTCATTTTTTGTGCTTTCATCTTTCTAACAGGAGCGTCGTCCCCTCTAAGCCCCCTTACGCTTTACTCCTCATTTCCTTATGCATGAATGACTTTATGTCGGGATGTGGCGTTGCTGTCATAACCCCTGCTATAACTACTAGTAAAAGCAACCCCACCCTCGGCCGACAAGTCCAGGTTGTTTCGCTTGGTTGGTTATCTTCATGCACACACGAACACAATTGCGATAGGAAAAAAGTTACATGTTCAAAACGCACCCTCCCCCCTCCCCTTCTTGCTAGCAGCTAGGCCTTGCGTGTCGTCTTGGGTCTGTGGGAATATAAAATTTTCACTCCCCCCCCCGAATATAACCCTGATCTCATGTTGTACTGCCTTGTTCAAGTAGAAACCGGCGTGAACTATTTTTGGGCACGTGTAGTACTCATAGCACAGGTAGGCGCAGATCATCTCTGGCAATAAAAGCGAACATGTGAGTCCCAGGAAGTAATTGAGAAGAAGACGACTCGATCTCTGGGGCAATACATTTATTCGCCTGACGTTCCGATATCCGTCGCGGATTCATCATCAGGGACATAATCAGAGCATTACGAGCAGTGTATGCACAGGAACTTGCAGTATTTATAGGATACAGTCATTACTGCAAGCATACAGCGACTAATAACGTTACTTGCCTTCTTGCGCGTGGATAGTTGGTTGGACGACATGCGGGCTCTGACGTGTTGAACTTTCATCACGCGTGGCGGGCACCGGCGAGATGATTGCTCGGCCATCTGGCCCTCCGGTGT